CTAGAGTACACAAGAATTGCGGCCAAGGCGCTCCTCTGCACCAAAGATGTACCCTTCATGAACACCGTAGCAGAGGCGGCCCTGCTGGTCGTCCCGATGGTCCAGGTACGACTGCCATACTCACGAAACCGTGTGACCTGACGACAGTAGACTGCCAGAATTAATAAGCGTCAGTGTGCACGTATGGTGGACAATGTCCACCAGCTGCTCTGCACACTGACCTTGTTGTTCCTGTGCTCGGGCTCTGCATTGACTCCAAAATTACTTGGCGAGATTGGTCGCGTCGTCCAGTGTGTGCACCGGTTCCTTGAACGCATTGCACTCATGTCATGTTAGAAACCTTCACAAATTCTATGCCTGTCTTCGATCCCAACAAGAGTTGGGAAAGATCAAGCGATTTTTCAAGCAAAGCGAAGTTACTGCACAGCTTGAAGCCTGTGAGGTGGAATTGCGAGGGTTACTCGAATCGTTTAAAGTGCGTTCCAATCTTCAACGCTAGCATCGTTTTACAGACTCATTTTAGCTGCAATCTGATTCTTTTTTAGCCACTGCTGTAGCGGACTTGGATGCTCAGACCCAGGATCGACACCAACAATTCCTCGAACTTCTTGCTTCACAAAGTAGTTCACAATATTCTGATATCATGTCTACAGTATGTGTTTTTATCAGGGATATCCTCTGGTGCTCATAAAGCCGTGCTCAGACAAATAGCAGGCAAGAGAGCTGGTTGTTTCACCATCTGCCCACACTGATCCCACGAGATAGTTCCAGTGCATTTTCATTGTTGCCTGCCCTGCCTCAGATATTCAATGGCAGAGAATCTGAGCTGGCAGAAATTGTAGCCGCCTTTATCCAATGCCCAGCTCGGGTCGCAATCATGGGAACCGGCGGAATGGGAAAGACAGCCCTCGCACTTGCAGTGCTTCACCACCCAGATATTGAAGTGAACTACTCCCACAAGCACTTTGTATCTTGTGAAGCAGCAACTAGTGCTGCCGGATTGATTTCGGCTGTGGGTGCACATCTGGGAGTCGAGCAATCCAGAGCGCTATCCAAGGCAATTGTCGGCTACTTCTGGGATTGTGGTCCGACTATGTTGGTACTGGACAATCTGGAAACCCCTTGGGAGCCGCTTTCAACTCGTGGAAAAGTCGAGGAATTCTTATCTTTGCTAACGGACGTTCCGCACCTGGCGCTGCTTGTGAGTGGGTACTGAATGCCAATGTGTTTGACTTATATTTCTGTCAGATCACGATGCGCGGGGCTGAGCGACCTGGAAAGATCAAATGGACTCGCCCATTCCTGCTTCCGCTGGAACCCCTTTCGTCGATAGCATCACGGCAGATCTTCATCGACATTGCAGCGGAACCAAGGGCCGACGAAGAGGCTGCTCTCGCAGAACTCATGGAAGTGACAGGGAACCTTCCTCTCGCTGTTGGTCTGATGGCCAATGTTGCATCGTTCGAGGGGTACCTGGGAGCCCTCTCTCGTTGGAAAGCTGAGAATACAGCGCTCATCTCAGACGGATACGACAAACGATCCAGTCTCGAAAAATCAATCATTGTGTCTCTCAAGAGTCCACGACTTGAATCTAACCCCCAGGCATTGGAGCTTCTCGGTCTCCTCTGCCTCCTCCCGGATGGAATCTTGGAAGAAGAGCTCATCTCAAGCCAAGTGCCTCTGCAGAACATCCCACAATGCAGATCAGTGTTGCTCCAAACCTCATTAGCATTCCTAGTCGAGGGTCGCCTCAAGGCATTGCCTCCAATCCGCGAGTACGTAAGAGGGATCCATCCAGCATCCGCTGATTGCACAAAACCGCTCCTCGATCATTTCCACGCACTCCTTCTGGTCGTCGAGTCCTACTCTGAAATATCCCATCGGGGTGTTTTTCGCCAACTCATTTCTCACCTGGGGAACATCCAAAGCCTTTTTTTGAATGCAATCAAAGCGGAAGGGGTTACAAAATCCGACCTTGGCTACGCAATCCTTACGCTCAGCCACCTTTCTATGACTATGCTGAAAGGGGAGAGTCCCTTGGTTCGATATCTCCCTGGAATTATTGATTCAGGGGATGACCACCATTTGAAGTGGCTCTATTTACGGTATTGTGTTAATGCAATAGATCGCCCTGCCATCGGTCTTGATGATCTTGAAGCCCTGGCAAATCAAGGTGTCCAATTCTTTGTTCGAGAACAAGATTATGAAGCACAAGGTAGGCCGTCTGTTGCTGAGACAGAAACCCAATACTGACTATATGAACCATAGCCACAACCTATGCTGCGCTGTCATTGTATTATCACCGAGCTGGGGACCTTCGAAAAGCTCTGGAATTCAATGAGCTGGGGATAGGCTTGAGGAACAAAATCGGTCCTATGGGTCAACTTGTGGCAATACGCGCAAGGGCCAACATTCAAGCAACACTTGGCGAGTGCCACAAAAGTGTTCAAAATTACCGAGAGGCACAGAAGCTTGCACGACTCACAGGCAGAGTCAGTGAAGAGTGTGAAAGTTTAATTGATGAGGCAGTTCCATGGTGCCGATTGGGAAATTTTCGCGAGGCGCAGGAATGTATTACGACAGGGCAGGCATTGCTTTACACCAACGGACTACAGGGCTCTGACTTTGAACTCTCCTGCCTCGACCACGCGGCGGAAATCCACTTGCAAAAAGGAGAGTACGGTGAGGCTCGGCGCCTCACGGATCTTGTGAGGCAAAAAACCAGCCCACATCGGTCAACTTACTTCCATGCCAACAGCCTGGCAACTTTGGCCCAGATTGACACCATCATTGGGGCGAGTGACACTCAGGTCCTTGAAAATCTGGTCGCCGCAAAGAAATTGGCAACAGAGCTTGGCTGGGGTTTTGAAGAGGTTATCTGTGACTTGTTGCGCTGCCGATTGGATATTCGCGATGGACGGGGGATAGAAGCATATACGGCCATGAAGACAATGTTCGGAGACCCAGCATTAGAGCCACAAGTGAGGCTGATGATCCTGGAGAGCCTGGGAGACTCATCGAACCGGATGTGCGGTCCGACCGAAACATTCCATTGGGCGACAACATACTTTGCGTTCGCGAGGAAGATCACAGAGCCGTCTCATACATATCAAGGGCTTCGCTGTCTCGCGGATATCTTCCTGGCAGAAGGCGACGAGCAGACCGCTCTTAATATCTTTCAAGCAGTGCTGGATCGTTCCACGGAAATGGGCGTACATCAGCGCCGGGCGGACTGCATGTTGCGCATCGGCAATATATTACGGCGCCGTGGGCAGATAGACCAAGCGAAAGAAATGTGGGAGGCCGCCCGTCCACTCTTCGTTCGATCTTCTCAGACAAACAATGTGGCTACCATTGACGCAAAACTGGCTGATCTTCAGCAACATTGAAATTTTCGTTCGGATCTCGGGAGCGAAACGTGTGCCTGTCATGGCCACAGGATTAGTTTATATTATGAGCAGTAGGACATGAAGGGGAGCGAGGATCGGGATGGGCAGTTCGGAGAAATGGGGGAAGTCGCAATCGAGGTGGTTTATTCTAAGAGTTTCCTGCCAGATTTACAATGTTTGCTATGTTTCTAAATATACGTTGAAGCCTAAATTGCATGGATTCAGTGTCTGGGGTGCATCGCGAGCCCCCGGCGTAGATTGAGACTGACTCGCTCTCGCGGACGGAGAGAAGAAGCCGTGCCTGCGGGCGCGCAGACAAGTACGACACGGGATGGAGACAAGAAGAATAGGCAGCAGTGGCCCCCGCGGTAACAGCAGGACTAGCTGGCAATACATCGACACAGACATGGAGCACGGCACACTGGTGAATTCTGTATTCTGAAGATCTATACATGCTAAAAAGGATCTCAAGAAAGGCGTGGTCAAGCTATACAGAGCCGACGAGGGGTCAAGAAGGACGCGGCAACAAGAGGAGATTCTAATCGACAAGGTACTGAATTCGGACCGAGGATTCGTCTCAGAACCGAGAAAAAGAACGGAGACCAGCGCACCTGCTAATACCAAATAACCCCTCATATTAGAGGGGCCATGTCTCCTCTATGGTGCCTCTAATAAGAGGCGACCTGGTTGTAATTCCCACTGCGGCTACACCTTGGGTTCCCCTCCCATAAAGGGAGACTATGGGTAGACGAAAAAATTTACCTGCACCCCCGCCACCACCAAAATGGCGGGGGGTAGACATGTACCCGAACCGCCGCCACCTGCGCCTTTTTTGGGTAGACGTCGGCAGGGAGAGCGGGAGGGGAGGCGGGGATGGCACGTGCCACCATCCCACCTCGATCGTATGGGGTACAAGTGACCAAAAAGTAGACACAATGGTGATGTCTACCCCCCACGGCATGCACGGCGTCAGTAAATAGTAGACATGTCGCGTAACCCTGAGAGGCGGGCATGCACCGTCACGTGCCACCATCCCACCTCGACCGTATGAGGTACAAGTGACCAAAAAGTAGACACCATGGTGGTGTCTACCCTCCACGGCGTGCACGGCGTCAGTAAGTAGTAGACATGTAGCGTAAGCAGGTATGAGTCGTCACGTGCCACCATCCCACCTCGACCGTATGGGGTACAAGTGACCAAAAAGTAGACACCATGGTGGTGTCTACCCTCCACGGCGTGCACGGCGTCAGTAAGTAGTAGACATGTCGCGTAAGCAGGTATGAGCCGTCACGTGCCACCATCCCACCTCGACCGTATGGGGTACAAGTGACCAAAAAGTAGACACAATGGTGATGTCTACCCTCCACGGCGTGCACGGCATCAGTAAGTGGTAGACATGTCGCTTAGCCTTGAGAGGCGGGTATGTGCCGTCACGTGCCACCGTCCCACTTCGACCGTTTGGTACCAAAAGTAGACACCCAAACCAAAATGCAGAAATGGCCCTCTAATATGAGGGGTTATTCTTTGCTAGCAGGTAAGTCGTCAACATCATCGCTTTGCGGACACCCAAAAAAAAAAAAAAAAAAAAAAAAAACGGAGTATCCTGAGGTATGGCCCAGCCCCGATTCGACCGGGGACCTCCGAGATATCTAAGCAATGCCCGCCAACGCAGACTCGCCACACTCCCACTATGCTACTAGGCCAGCGTTAATTATCCCCCACTGACTATTATATCCACACCCAACATGCCAAAACTGAAATAAAAGAAACTGTGTTCAGGGCAGCAGTGACCCAGCCCCGGATTGAACGGGGACCTTCAAGTGAATTGCGCGAGAGAAGCTGCATACAAACACCTGGTGACTCCCACTAAGCTACTGGGCCATTACTATTTCCTTCACACTTATACCTACATGTAAATAGCGCATGTCTACCCCCCCCCGCGCAGTGTCTACCTCCTCAAAGTCTACCACACCGCTCACACTTCACAGCCCAAAAGTAGACACGACTTTGCAATTATCAAGATATGTATTTATACAGCAACTATATGTACACCAAAGAACGACCCGCGCGACGCGACCCACCGGGAATCAGCCTGAGGCCCCACCACCCTCTGCGGGCAAGGAAAGGCTGTCATGCTCGTCCTCGTCGTCGTCGCTCGATAGCAGCGCGATCACCGCCAAACTCTGGGGAAGCTGGCTCGACGACGCGACGGCGTTGGGGGCCTTGCCGGTGGGGCGGGGTTTGGGTCGCACAGGGTAGGAGGAGGTAGCGTCGGTGTCGACGGGGGGCGCGGAGTTGAACGCGGGCGCAGGCCCCGCCCTTATCTTGCAGTTACGGAGGTTCCTGGCTGCCATCTCCTTCTCCGCTTTGCGCGCGTCCTTTCGAAGCTGGCTCTCCAGGTCCTTCCGCTCCTTCCTCTGTTTCTTCTTGCGTTGGTCCGCAATTTCGTGGGGGTGGTAGAGGACGGTCTTCGGAGCAAAGGGGAGGATGCGGCGGCCCTGCTCGTCCACCTCGGGCTCGCTCTCATCGCCCTCAGCGGGCTCGCTCTCCTTGGTTCTGCGCGACTTGGCCGCGTCAGGCTTACGCCCCTGTCCCTTCCGTTTGAGCGATGCTGCGCTGCCGTCGTCTGAATCCTCTTCGGAACTGGACTCGCTGTCAGAGGCGGCACCGCGTTTCTTCGCCTTCTTGACAGGACGGGCGTCGTCGTCGTCGTCGTCGCCATCACTGTCCTTCGTGGCAGCGCGGCGCTTCTTGGACGTCTTGGAGATGTGGTGGGCGTCGTCGCTGTTGCTGTCGTCGGAGGCAACACGACGCTTCTTGGCCTTCTTCGAGGTGTCGGCGTCGGCGTCGTCGTTGTAGTCGTCGTCGTCGTCGAGCATCTCCCGGCTGAGCACCTTCCCCTTGCCCCCCTTCTTGCGCGGAGCCACAGCCGGACGCCCCTCCCTCTCTCTGACCCGCTCGCGATAGCGTGCCTTCTTCTGCCTGTTGAGGGCCGTGATGTGGGCGGTGAGCTCCTCCTCCGTCATTTCCTTGCGGTTCACGCGCTTCCTCTTCTTGCCGTCGCCATCGCCCCGCCCCTCATCGTTTTCGTCCCCCCCCTCCGGGAGCTTGCTCTTCTCCCGCTCCTTTGCCTCCTTTGCCGCCTTTGCCTCCGCCTTGGACATACCTTTGTCGACGCGGGGTTTCTTTTCCTTTGCAACCTTGGCTTTGACGGCAGCGGAGTGCTCGGCTTTACGAGCGTCGGACATGGTCTCCCAGCGGCATTTTCCCTGGATCAGGGCCTCGTGCAGAGGGCGGAGGCGGTCCATTGACCCGAGGGCGCTCGGGTTCATGAACTCGACCTCCGCAGGCCATCCAAGGAGCTCAACGCCGTGGCTGGAATTATCATCAATATGAGCCGTCACGGCAGGTCATGGATCACGTACTTTGACAGCAGCTTGTCGTAGTCGCCATACATCATCGGAACCTTTTTGCCGAGTTTCCGCTCTGTTGACAATCAGCGACGGCCGGCACTGTCACGGAAACGACACTTACCAAGACCTTCCGCGATGAGGCCGACGGTGTCCTTCCGCAACTGCGCAAACGAAAGCTCAAGCCCCACCGCCTCCCTGTTGATGCAATAGTGGTCGAACTTGACCGAAAAAATGTCGGGGGTGGTGTGCATAACCTCGGGCAGGAAGTTCATGGCCTCTGGGGGCCCCACACACGCCGCGTTCAGCGTATCGGTCACGCTCGATCTGCCTAGCACGAGGAAACCAATCGCCCCCGTCCGCTGTTGGAGGGCAAGGAGCTGGGTGGTCATCAGCAGGGCAGGAAGGATAGCAGTGCGTGGACGTACCTCAGCAAGGATGCGTTTGGTGAACGCCGTCACGTCCCTGCAGGCCGCAGCGTTGCTCAGCCGGGTACCCGAATACTTCACCCCTTTTGCTTCTGCGAACGCCTTTAGCAAAACCTCCTGCTCCTCGGGGGTCATGTCGGTGTAGCGGTCATCTTTCTTGACCATCTTTTGGACATCCTTCATGCTGTACTTGTCCCCTGGCGTGCGGCCTACCAACCATCAGTATGTGCAACCTTCCCCCTGTCACTGGGCGTACCTTCGTTGAGTTCCTGCGCCAGGGACCACACCTTCGCATTCCACAGGCTGGCCTTTCTCTCGGCCGCCAGACTGGTCACCCCCCGCAGCGCCTTCTTCACCTCACTCGAAGTCTTATCAAAACGGTCAGCCAGTTCCTCCGCCGTCTTCTCCATGACCGCCAAGAAGTCAGAAACCGCGGCCAAATACTCGTCCTTCGCCTCGGCCTGCACCTTCCTCTTCTCCTTCATCGTGTTCTTCTCTGCCTCCCCCTTTTCCTTCCTCCCTTCGCTCACGCGCTTGTCCTCTTTCCCGTCCTCCACCGGCTTTTCCACCCTCTTGCGCTGCCTTACTGGCTGCTGCAGCGCGCCCGGATTGCGTGCGGCCCAACTGCCGCCTTGCAAGGTGGAGTCGCCTTCCTCTGTCGAGGGGGCATGCGGATTGCTGACAATTTGGGGGGGAGCATGCTTAGGCGGAGGCGGAGGTGGAGGCGGAGGCGGAGGTAGAGTTGGAGGCAGAGGCGGAGGAGGCAAAGGCGGAGGTGGAGGGGGCGGAGTATCCTCCAGTGGCGGCGGTGGAGGCGGCGTGTCTACTCTTGGGGGAGTTGCTGGCGGCGCGTCTACCCTTGGGGATGCTGGCGGCGTGTCTACCCTTGGAGGCGACGTCGTTGGCAATGCTTGACTTGGAGCGTTGTCAGGGTGGGAGGGGCCGGGAGAGAGCCGCATTCCATCATCCCCCACCTCATCCTCGGACTCATCCCCCAATTCTGGGGTAGTCTTGCTCCGCAGGCCGAACTCGAGCTCAAACTCCTTCAAATCTGGCGTGGTCTCGCGCGATGGTGACGTCTCTGGCAAGAAGAGGGGAATTTTGGAAGGGGATGGCGCGTCTTCGGCGGACGAGGCAGAGCGACGGGGCTCGTCTTCAACGGGCAACGCGGAACGGCGGGGCTCGTCTTCAACGGGCGATGCGGAACGGCGGGGCAAGTCTTCGGCGGACGAGGCAGAGCGATGGGGCTCGTCTTCAACGGGCGACGCAGAACGGCGGGGCTCGTCTTCAACAGGCGACGCGGAACGGCGGGGCAAGTCTTCGGCGGGCGACGCGGAACGATGGGGTGTGTCTTTGGTGGGTGGCACAGAGCGGTGTGGCGCGTCTTTGGTGGGGGTTGTCGCGTCTTCGTGGCGCACATCTTCGGTGAGTGGCACTGAGGGGCGGGGCCCATCTTTGGTGGGTGTCCGGGCGTCTTCGGGGAGCGTGTCATTGGCGGGGCCGTCATCTTCTTCCTCGTCGCTGACAGGGTCGGGCTTCGCCCGGCTAGCCTTGTTGCGCTTGGTGGTTGACTTCACCTTTGCGGGCGCAGGCGTTTTCTTGGTTGGTTTTGGGCGGGGGGCGCCGGAGCGAGTGGAAGCACGGGTGGCAGGCATTTTCTACACCTAACTCAGTGACTGCAACCCCTGAGTGGCCCGACTTACGTTGGCGTTGACAACTTGGTGCGGTTATTACGGTGTGGCAGAGAAAGAGGAATCAATAGTTGTCAACAACATCACGTGTTAGCTGATGTGCGCTGGTTCTAACACTGGAACTGTCTACCCATCCCCTCTCACACCTCCAGGTCCAGTCTACCCTACATTCAGTCTACCCCAACAATGAAATGGTCTACCCATCCCCTCTTGCACCTCCAGGTCCAGTCTACCCCAACAATGAAATGGTCTACCCATCCCCTCTCGCACCGCCTGGTTCGGTCTACCCCACCCACAAGAAAGGCCGCAAAAACTAACCAGGGAAGTACAATTCATTCAAGATAGAGCGACAACAGGATATAACTAATCTACAGGTGTTGACAGAAAAGCTAACGATGAGCACAGGGAGCGAAGCGGGGGTTTACAAGTCATCGGCCGGCTGGTTTTCAAAGCGCGGGTCAAAGTCCTCCTCGGGGCGGACGTCCCTCCGATTGTCTAGCATCCACTCCTCCATGTCAGCGCTCTCCGCCCACTCCTTCGCAATGCCGAGGCCAGTGTCAAAACCCTCGTCCTCGGCCTTGATCCTAGACACCTCCCGAAGGGCTTGCTGGATCGCAGCCTTGCGCCTCGTGGAAGCGAGCTGGCGCTGAGCCAAGAATGCCACCTCACGCTCCATCTCCTCCTTTTCCCTCTCCTTCTCCATCATGTCCAGGTTCCATGCTAAAGCCCCCAGCTCGTCCGCGGCGGACTCGGTACTCCCCGTGGAGAAGAACATCGCTTTGAAGGGGTTCGACGTCGCCATCAGCGCCGCCTCCCCCAAAGAGCTCACCCCTTGTGTATATTGGTTCATGGCGTCAGACAGGCGGCTGTGTACGACCTCGCCACCACGGACGGCGAAATGCATGTTGGGAGGCATGAGGGCGGCCACGCCTGGAGTTGACAGAGGGGCGGCGGCGAATGCGGGCAGCTCGGGATTGGCAAACGATGGCGGGGGAGACCCAGAATGTTCGAAGGCGGGCATGCGCGGGGCTTTCTTCGTGGACAACGACGCGGGCAAAGGCGACGCGGGCACAGGTGGCTTGGTGTTCCTCGGCGTAGCGGGAGACCCGGCGATGCCTGGGATATGAGCTTTCTTGGGGGTGCTGGGAGGATCGTGGGCCATCGCCGTTACTTT